TTAAAAATATCATTCTATTATCTTCTGATGTACATAATTTCAGACAAGAAGTCTGCTGTGATTACTAATTTTTCTAATAATTTTTCTCTAGCTAATTTTAAACTTTTCTCTTTATCACTGGTTTCGAGAAATTATGATATACCTTTGTGTGTTCTTTCTTTTTTATTTTTGAGTTCCTTATGCTTGAGGTTCATTGAGCTTCTTAGAACTCTGAGTTTATTATTTTTATCAAAACATGTAAAAATTCACCTTCCTCATCTGCTGGGTCTACATTAGTCCTCTTGAGACTGTGATATGCATCACTGAGGTTCTGTTTATTTTGTCAGTTTTCTTTCTCAGCTTCATATTAGACAGTTTTTATTTCTATGTCTTCAAGTTCATTTTTTTTTTATTCTGCAGTGTCTCATCTCCTCCTAGTTCCAAAAGTGACTTTCTTTTTCATTCAGCATATTATATTTTTCCCTCTAGAGGTTCCCTTTTGTTCTTTCTATATCTTCTATTTCTCTCATTTAGTTCAAGTCTTTCTTTAAATCCACAGACATATTTACAATCTTCATAATACCTGTTTCAAGTTCCTTGTCTGCTAGTTCTACCACATCTGTCATTTCTGAGTCTGCTTACACTGACTATTTTTTCTTTTGGTAGGTTACATTCCAGACTCTCAACATGTGTTGTACTTTTAAAATAGGATGCTAAGTACTGATAACGTCAGGAGTTGAATGCTGGGTTTGTTGTCTTCTTTTAAAGTTTATTTTGACAAGTGGTTGAATTTTCTTGTACATTAGGTTGATTCCTTTCGAGACTTTAGAAACAGACTTGTTTCAAACATTTTTTTTTTTTTTTTTGGTACTGGTGATTGAACCCAGGGGTGCTTTGCCATTAAATCACATCCCCAGACTTTTTAAAATTTTTTATTTTGAAACAGGGTCTAGCTAAGTTGCTTAGGTAAGCCTTGTGAAGTTGTTGAGGCTAGCCTGGAACTTGTGATCCTCCTGCCTCAGCCTTCTGAATCACTAGGATTACTTAAAATATTTTATTGACGTTTAACATAACAACATAAAAATTAACTCACCCATAATTTTAAAAATTATATCCAGCTTGAATTCTTCCCCATATAACTAGCACTCAGATCAAAAGCCAGCACATTACCAGCACCCCTATAGCCCTCTCTTAAGTTTTCAAGGCTTGATTTTATGTATTGTTTGGGCAGAGATAAAATAACCTTCACTCTAGAGTTAATTTAGACCTATTATCAAGTTATACCCTCCCAGTCTCTAGTGCTTATCCTCAGTGATCACCCAGGTCTCTATTCTGACTGGTCTGAACCTGAATGATTCCTAGGCCTGTGTGGGCTCAGGGAATATAGTTCATTGTGTAGACTTTTTTTTTTTTAATTTTTTTTTTTTTTTGAGAGAGAGAGAGAATTTTAATATTTATTTTTTAGCTTTTGGCGGACAGAACATCTTTGTTTGTATGTGGTCCTGAAGATCGAACCCGGGCCGCATACATGCCAGGCGAGCGCGCCACCACTTGAGCCACATCCCCAGCCCAATCATTGTGTAGACTTTGATCAGGAGTTTCATCCTCCATTTGGGCAGATTATTCTTCAATAAGTCAGTCAATTCAGATTTCTGAAACTTTTCCTGTGATGTTGCTCCCTCCTGTCCAGTACTCTTTCTGACTCACAAACTCAGATTTTAACCTTCTAACTCAATAAAAGTGTTGTACTTTGCTGAGGATCGCCCTTCTGGTATCAGGTGTCTGGAAAATGCCTCAAGGAAGAAAGCCAGGGGAATGATAAGTCTCACATCACTTGTTTCCTCTCATTCTGGGATCACAGCTCTGAATGGCCTGTTATCCAATCTGCCTGTCCAGAGTTTCAACAGTTAATAGTGGGAAGATTAATCCAGTTCCAATTGTTACATCATGGCTATCAGCAGAACCAAGACCTCTTTTAATATAATTTCCAGCATGGATGCCATGTTTTGCAAGATTTCATCTATCAAAATAACCCAACCCATATGTGCTTTCCATCCTTCCATCTATCTATTCAATGGCTGCTAGATCTTTGGGAAACAGGGATTGGTTCATGCTCTCAAAAAGTAACAATTCAATGGGAAAGCCATTTTTTTTCTGGCAAAAAGGAGAGATTGTAGGGTCAACTGTGGACATGCTGATAATAGATCAGTGTGATTACACAAGCAATACAAAAGGCTTTGGGAAAAGATATGGTCAACATAGGTCTCTTTCCTTGCAGAGGTCAAGGAAAATTTTTAGCATAATGTTTAGAGAAAGTCTTGAAGAGTAACTGAGAGATTAATGGATGTGATAGGATATTTTGAACAAAAGAAACTGCATGCAAAGTATGAAGCCATGGAACAATACCTAAGTGTGGGAGAACTACTAATATAGGGTTAGAAGAAGGGAAGGGAGAGAGCTAAAACTATGAAAAAACAATAAAATAGAAACCCCAGGAGCATCACACCATGAAGTGGGGCTTTAAATGCTGTGCTTATCATCATTCACACCTGTACTTTGTTGTTAACTACCATCTAGAGTGATAACAGGATGGATATTTTGATTATATACGTCACATTGAATTCTTACAACAACCTTATGAAGAAATGAAGAGAGCTTTAGTAATTTTGCCCCAAGTCACACGGCCAGGATTTAAACATAGGTCTATGTGAGTCCAAAGTGAACAAAGCAAACTTGCCTTGAATCTATAGGTAGAGGGAAGTTCTAGAAGAATATTTTGTTTTTAAAAGTTTTTTTTTTTTTCCCAGATAATTTTCATTGATGGAGCAATTTCAAGTCAGAGGGATATATAGTTTAATTTTTGTTTTTAGAAAAGTCACTCTGGTACATCTGGAAGGACTGGAGGGAGGAAGACGGGATCAGATGAACCAATTTGTAGGCTGCTGGCAATAGTGCAGGAAGAAACAAGAGGGTGCATCAGGTGGCATTTAGGAGGGATGGGAAAGAGGATGTGGACTAACAAAATGTTTAAGTTGTTCAATCCTTCAGCAGCTCTGGCAAAAAGGAGAGATTGTAGGGTCAACTGTGGACATGCTGATACACTGGAAGTAGCAGGTCCTGTGTCAAAGATGAGACAGAATCTCTCCTCTTGTAAAGTTCATGTAGCATTATAGAATCCAGCTTATGAATTCCACTGAAATACAATAGGTGCCTTATGGACCACACATTCCCTTCCCATTACTATCTTGGGACCCCATGCTGGGAAACACTGCTGTAAAATATTCTCAATTCCCTTTCAAACCAGCTTGAAGTTAAGAAGTCCTATATGCCCAGGCTGAAACTGTTAGGACCAGGAGGGTATTAGTGATCTACTAATTTGCCTGTAATTATCAACAACTATTTTATTAAAAAATGCAGGTACCATTTATTGACCACTGGCAACATATGAGCACTGTACTAGGCATTGGGTGAACATTATAATTTACCACAATAATCCTAAGAGTACTCTTGGCACCTCTCCTGTAGCTGAAGTGCTAAGATAGAAAATAACTTTCTTGAGTTCCTTCGCTTCCCTGAGACAGCCTCAAAGATCATTTAAAAAACCTGTCATCTTCAGGAAGATTCCATTGAACTCTCCCAAAGTTTGTTACTCTCTCTCCTGGGCCTTTCTGTGACTGATTTCTATTTCCCTTGTGGTCCCTGTTATGCTACACTGTGGTGTACATATAATTTACATGTCTGTTTTCCCTTACTGGAATGTACTCTATGTAGAGTTCTGCCTTCTCTTTACCTGTACAGGGTTAGAGTGATGCAGATGGAGTCAGTTGGAACACTGCATGGTTTCTGAGCTGACAGTCATCCTGTTCTGTGTCAGAGCCCTTGGCCATTATTTGGCAGCTGATATGCCTCCCAGTCAGTCACTTCCCACATTTCACTTGGCAGTTGCAAGGTCCCTGCTTGAGAGATCCATGCCTTACAGAGGAGCTTGACCAGGGAACGGGAACAGGGTAGGTTCTATGCACTCAAGAGTTGGGCTTGCATATTGGGAGTGGAGAAGAGACCTTCCTCAGAGTGGTGCAAAGAGTAAAGGAGAGGTCAATGACAAGGACTTAGCACAGCACCTAGTGAGCAACAGGTCAATGATAGTAGCCATTATTCAGTGATGCTGCAAAGGAAACATTTTTTTTTTTTTTTTATAGCACACAAATAACATTCCATCCCCAAATCTCACAGGAAGGTAAAAGCAGAGAAGTCTGAAATCATTCATCAACACACAGTAATCCCTTCAGAAAAGCACAGTGCCACAGGGGCTCCTGACAGATGGAGCACCACCACCCACCATGTCAAACACTCCCAGACACAAACCCAGTCTGATCTGTTGCACAGGGCCAGTAACATGGGCTTCTTTCATTTTGGAAGCCAGAAGAATGTATGGATATTCTGGTACATGGAACCACAGGAACATGAAGACCACCCTTGCCTATGAGGCCATATTCTCCCTTGGGTTGATTATGGGGTAGACAAGTCAACTTTCAAAGCTGCCACAGGAGCTGACGTGAGATACTAGTATGGCCAGATGTCAACTGGCAAATATGGCAGCCAGTCACTTTCAATTCTATAGAACCCACATAGGTTTGAATTACTGTACACTGTACACACTGAAAACCCTCCTACCCACCATCTGGGTGTTACTCAGAAGATGCTACCCTGCTCTCTAGAGATGGCAATGTGCTAGGGAAGGGTGGCATCCCTCCTTCCCAGGCTCCCACAGAAGAGAAGTTGCTCAGACTCTGGAATTACTTCACAGACTTTCAGATGAAAGTCATCAGAGCAAAATAAAACTCAAAGAATAAACTACCTCACAACTTTCTACCCTGTTTCAGAGAAGACAGAGAAACAAACCACAGTTCTTAGGCTACAGGAAAACCACAGCTATCTTCTCTCCCCCCACACACTCTAAGTCATGTTCATTTCCATGGCACAAGCAAGCAGGAGTCAGATCTCAAGAGCACATTACCTACCACATCATTTGGAAGGCTCTGGAGGTCATCAAAGGGAGTTTCCAGGGTGTTGGTATCCACATTCAGGATCACAACATCATCCAGGGCCATGTTTCTGACTTTCTGCAAGTAAACAAAATCCAGAAGAGAAAGTCATTGAAATTCTACCAGGACACAGATATTCCCTCTTTGCTTCTCCAGGGAGGGGAGTAGAGGAAAAGGTGACATTTGACCAAAGCTTACTAGTACTCTGGCAGCCCATAAATGGTTTGCATTTGTTATTCATTTAACTCCTGTGAAAACTCTTGAGTTTGCATGTCATCCCCAGGCCCAGGAGTGAAGCGAGTTTCACCCACCCTAAGTAACATGCCCCAGGTCTCACAGCTAAGAAGAGAAAGATTGTACCCTATCATTGTTTTCTCTGTGTATGTGCACATGCATGCACATGAGTGTACTTTTTAAAACATAAGCTGAAGACCTAAACCTCTGGTTCCAGGGATATATAAAGGGCTTTTAAGACACCCACATTCATTCCTTTCTTCTCATTTACCAAAAGCAACCTGCTCATCTCTCTTTTGGATTTCGTCATTCTTGGGTAAAGAATATGGTATGTGGCCTAGTGTGAATATGTTCACATTTCTCTTGAACACTAATTAGGAAGGTCACACTTTCAGTCTGGTTCCATTTTCCATAAAAACCCAGCTACTAAGGCTCTGGCCATGAGTTTTTATTGTTCAAATTCCACTGTTAATCCACTGCTAGAATCCATTTTCATCTTTCTCCTGCCAGCCCACCACCATTCAGTCCTCCTTCCCCATTTGTATCAGATTTGCTCCTCACAGGTTTTAAACTTCAGAACTATTGTCTATTTTATTTTGCCCAAAGTAGGAAGACCCTATCAGTTGTCATTCAAACTGGGACACTTGTGAATTTAGAAGAGTGCATATCATACCAAGGCAACAGGCAGAAGACGGGACATATGGTAACCCTATATGTAAGGGACTGATTTCATTATTAATTTCCTATTGAGTGCACCATATGACTGTCCAGGTATGCACTGCCCAGGAGATCTGGCCAGCAAGGCTGGAACTGAAGGAGCTAACCTGTGTGCATACCAAGGCCCTGGCTGGGGTGGAGGTGGGGAATGTCTTTAACACCAGACCCCGACCCAGACATATGATGGTGTGAAAGCCCATTTGCTAATGCTCTGGAAATGACCAATTTAAAAGTACAATTAATTCTTATCAAGACTCTGCAAAGTGGATGTTATTACCCTTATTGTTCATAACTCAAGGAAAATGAGTTCAGACAAATGAGGTAAATAAGTGGTAGAAGGTCGAATAGCACTGGCTACCTCCGTAGCCCATGTTCCCTGCACCACACTATCCACCTCCTTGTCGCCAGACACCCTCAGTAAGATTGATCTCAGCCCTCATCCCTGGAGCCCTGGCACCCCTTTGCCTGCCTCCCCACACTGGGCTCATCTGTAAAGACTGCCACTGTGTGGCTAATAACCAGTGCCTACCTAATGAAGTGATCCATGCTTGGTAAGTGCTGATATTGGCTGATATTTAAACTCCAGTCCCTAGGATAGCACTTGGTACCTAAATAAACATTCTGAGATTCTTCCTAGCAGGAGGGTGGAATCATGCTGGTCAGAAGCCTTCTAGGGTTGAAAAAATACTCCTGGGCAAGCCTTCCACTTAGGACCAGAGCCTCTAACTCCATCTGACTCCTCTGGGCCACTGGGGCCAGTCCACAAACCTATTGATCAATCTGAAAACATCTGCCAAGTCCTTACCACGTGCTGAGATCCACAGAGGATGGACAAGATCGCTAATCTGAGTTTATTCTCCCCACTAAACCTCAATATGCATATTAATTACTGCCCTATTTATAGGCCAACAGCTATCAACAAATGGTGAAGGGATTGATAATAATTCAATCACTGAATGTTGTACAGCACTTTTGTCTTACAAAGCATAATCCCTGTTTCATGGAGGAGAACATCAAGACTCAGAGAGCTGTCCACAGCTCCTTAGCTGCCCACTCTGCCAGCAACTCAGCAGGTTGAAGGCCTTGCACTGCACCAGCAGGAAGTTAAATAAATAGCATGGACAACCATTTTTTCCACTATGTCACATTTTGGAGCTCATGAAGGATCACCACACAGATGCTTTCATTTCCACCAGTGACCTGGTAGTGAGATATCACCATTCCTATTTTCAAGATGAGAAACTGAGGCTCCAAGAAGTGCAACAGCTTGCCTAAGGCTGTGTGTCTAATTGGTTTCTTCATCTGAGAAGTTGGAAGAGCTATGACCTCTCCTTCTCTCACGTCCCCCTGGACTGTGTGAGAATTAGAGGTCAGGGACACACAGTGCAGAGCCATAGTACAGCTTATTATTTACCATTTAGCGGCTATTATTATTATTTAACACATACAATAGCTATAGACAGAAGAGCTGTAGTAGCATTGGCTTAAGGGCGGAAATGCTTCCGTTCTCTTGGTGGTAACTATTTGCTTCTCATTTTGAATGCTAAAGCACAGAAACTGAATCAGAGAGGCAGTTGAGGATGCCAGGCCTCGAAGACTTAAATGGAGGCCCCTGTACCAAGAATCACCTATTTGCCTCATCTGACCTCCCAAATAGCCCCAAACAGAAGGGGGCAGGAGGCAATGACCACTGGAGAGAAGCATCAGGGGCTGAAAGGCCTTGTGAGTGGATGTTGATTCTGGACCAGAATCGGGCCTTGTTCCTCTGTCCCCAGAGGGGCCCCAGCAGCACAGACCAGCCCTTGTGGACTCTCCATGGCTAGGCTGGGGCAGGCTTTTGATTTCTTCCCACTCCTGGCTGGAGGACTTGCCGGCTAAGCTGTGTGGAGTGTTTACTTTTCCAACAATGGAAGCAGGCTGAAGAAGAGGAAAAAACCTGGCCCTTTCTTCAGATTTAGCAGGCCAGGGTCCCCTTAGTAACCGAAATGCCCCTAGCACCAGGCTCCAGGCAGGAGCTACAGTGGCACAGTTTCCTCTTGTAGGACAATGCTGCCCTCTTGGTGGCAAAGCCTCTCCAAAGGGGCTGGCATGGGTTCAAGGGTGTTCCTAAAGCTCAGTGTTCCCAAGGAAAGAATCAGAGGCTGGTTTGGCCGGATGGTACCCTGTCCCTGAAAGACTCAAGGCAACAAGGAGAATGAAGAAAGGCAAGAAAAACTCACACTGAGGCTGTGGAGTGGGAAGTGCTGGAGGAGAAGGAAGCTGGATGATTACTGGGTGCCAGCTCACTTCATCTTAACCATGCTGTGAGGGAGATACTACCATGTCCCTGGTAAAGGTGAAGAACTGGTAGCTCAGAGAGGCAAACAAACTGCCCAAAGCCCCATAGCCAGTGAGTGGCAGCAGAGCTGGCTTTAAGCATAGTCTTGACTCCAAAGTTTATCCCTCTCTGAAGAGATCCTAAATCCTCTGCTCAGGCTTCAGAATGAGTAGCTGTGAGGTGCATACAGTTATATGAATGCTCTCGGGATCTGTTTTCTCTTCTGCAAAATCAGGCCTGCCTTTTGTATCTGAAACATCATACATACCTACTACAAAAAAATGGGAAAGGTGTGCTGGGTGCAATGGTGCAAACCTGCAGTCCCAGTTTCTCAAGGGAGGCCAAGGCAGGAGAAATACAAGTTCAAGGCCAGCCTGGGCAACTTAGTGAGACCCTATCTCAAAAAACAACTTTAAAAAGGACTGGGCATGTAGCTCAGTGGTAGAGTGCTTTATGTAGCATTTGCTAGGCCCAGTACTGCAAATTAAAAGAAGGCTGGAAGAAGGAGGGGTGTGAGGGGAGGGAAAGAAGATTTCAAAGAAAATTACCATTACCTTAGACCCTTCAATTGGATAACATATTTTGGTGTATTTCCTTCCATGCTCTTCCCTCCTTACTTTTAAAAACATAGTTGAAATCGTTCTTATTGCTCCTTTCTGATTTTCTCACTGATTGCAGTATAAGCAATGCTCCACTCCATTCAAAGCTTTGTGAAGATCATTACTAATTGCTACAGGGGGCTCCACTGCATGAAGACAAACTCAGCCAAGTCCCTTTGGTTGAATGTTATTTCCAGGTTTAAAGAAATTATTCTATATAATATTGTCATGAAATCTGTAGGATAAAGCTTTGTGCTTCAGGATGGATTCCTAGAAGTGGAATTTAGTTTCCACTTCTTAAAAAGTGTCCCTCTCAAATTTGTCTTTGAGAGAGATATCTTTACTTCCAATTATTTTAAAGTCATTTTATCCACAGCTTGTGTTTCCTACTCTAAGTGAAGAAAAATCAGCAAAGACACGAGCAGATGTCAAAATAGTCCTCCAAAAATCCTACCCAATTAAAACACTTACTAGTACCGCAGCACACCGAGACAGCTCTCCGGTAGCTTGTCCCACCAACACATTCCCTCTCTTTTTAGTTACAACATATGCCAAAGCTCCTGCCAGCTGCAAACCCTTCCCCCACCAGGCTCTATAAGCTTTTTCTCAGAATGAAGGAACAAAAAAAAAAAAAAAAAAAAAAGAAAGAAAAACCACACTGACATGCACACCGGCTCTCCAAATGGCATTTCTTACACAGAGAAATGCAAAAAATGGCATTTTCCCATCAATATTGTTAATCAAAAATGTCTTTCCCTATAAGCTTTGTCACATAGTCTTAACTTGACCCCTATTTTTGGGGCCAGGGAAGGGGAAATGGGCATGTAGCTCAGTGGTAGAGTGCTTTATGTAGCATAGTATGAGAGGTGCTTGGGGGCAGTTGAGAGGACAGGACATTGGTTATAACTTAGGTCGTCACCTCTGGTTTGCCCTTACCCAGTGGGTAGCCTCACTCAATATATTCAACCTCACACACATTTCAGGTTTTCAATCCATGATATGGGGATCAATTATAGACCCTGCCTCACAGGGTGGTTGTGAGGTTTATAGAAGAGAATGTGAGTCCCAGAACACCCATAACAGGTACTCAATGAACAGCAGCTCCTTCCCTGCCTGCCTCTTCTTCTCTGATGGTCCCTAGAGCTCAGCTGTGGCTCACCTCACTTTGGAGAACCTGGGGGAGGGAGCAGCGAGCTTTCCACAGCCTGGGT